ATACCACAAATAATAAACTCTCTTCTTTCTCATCTCTCTATTCCAATTTTTACCGTTTTCTTCTTTTCAATTCTAAAGTGTGATGAACACGCGTTCAAAACTTGTATAAGTATCACTTGAGTAAAGAATAGTATAAAGGTTAATAAATCATTAGAGTGAAAGTTGGTTGTTGTTCAAGACGGTTTTGTTTCAACATCAAGTTTAATAGTTTAATGATATACAAATATACAAGTTTTTTTAACATTGAAGCGTTAATGTTTTTTTTTTTACCATTTTCTCTCATTCCGTATCACATACATTACCCTTCAATCAAACTCCATTTCTATATATGTTGGTTGTGTGCCTTTAAGAGGTATAAACTATTGAGCAATCATTTTAATTTTTTATTCTTATTCTTAGAAGATCATTGACATTTTCATGTAAATAGTCTATTATATTGCGGAATTTCAACGAGAAACACCTTCTCCTGTCGTTTATCGTGAGCAATCATGTACTACTGTTGTATGACACTATGACAAATGTATGGCTTAAATATCAGCATTAAATGTGCTAATCAATACATTATGATGGCCCTTCATTTTTTTAATTTAAATAATATATAAAATGTTTCAGCAATCAACACCCCTAACTGCTACCGCCCCATGGAATTTAAATTCCCTGCATTTAGCTCTCTATATCTCTCTATCTTGCATTTATATTTATTTTTTAAACAAGTATGGATGATTTTCCTTTGTTTCTTTTTTATTATAACTTATCATTTTGATTTATGATGCATTAATGCATCAACAATGAAAAGTGAAAGTGATGGTGTGGTTGCTTATTTGAGCCACCGCATTCTAAAAAATAGACCTTCCAACTAAAATGTTTGCGTGACACGAATACAAAGGGATAAAACCACCCTTTTACGTTATTTCAATGATAACACCTATTATACTATATTAAGGTGAAAATTTATTGGGTTTATTAAATACAAATTCACATAGTATAGAGACAGTGAGGCTAAAAGTGTTATAATGTAGGAAGGAAAACTTAGAAATGGCATTTACACTATTGTATAAGAGAAAAAATCTTACACACTTTCTACACAACCAAACTACACAATTTCTAAACTATAGAGCAGGGAAATGAATGGTGCTCTAATATCAACATGTAGATCATTATATGAGCTGAATTTATCATATACTGTCAAAGGCCCATGCAAATGAATGATCATAGAACATATAAATAAAACCAAATACAAGAAATTAGAAATCCAAAGCTAGCCAGAAGCAAAGTGTGGCTATTAAGCAGCATCGACGGTGATGCGTTTGACTGTTGAGATTTGTATTTGGAATTTTTACTTGAATCAGGGGATGGGTAATGGCCAAGCCCAGCAGCGACTGCAGGAGGCACAGTGTCTGAGTGTGGTCTTGCTGGGACAACATTGTTATGATCCTCAACGTCGTAACCTGTTAATGGCTCAAAGTATAGGAGTATCAATCTCAGCATATAACCAATAAAATGGAGAATAGTAACAATGAGATGAAAATAGACTTACAATCAGATTTCTTCCATCCTAATGTGAGCTTTTCCCGGTCAAAAACAACACGGTAACCAGTCATGAAGTTCTCTGCAATCAACATCAAGAGCTGAGGAATGAGAATGAGAATGAATATATCTGATATGACACATCATGCTGATTCATGCATCATTTCGATTCCGGCAGCCACAGTCAAAATAAAACTTATTTCTCAAGAAAGTATAAGAGACTTACGTCCAATTATGTTCAGCTCAGCACTCTTGACCACTGCTAGACAATATACAAGTTCACTCTGTAGAAGTAATAGGGAAAATAACATGTTTGTTATATGTATATCCCCGAAGCTTAACAATTGTAAGATTCATAGATTTAAGAAGTACCTGTGTGGAGATGATAATTATTGGATCATAAACAGCAAAACGGCTTCCACCTCCCATAGTTAAACTCGTGCTAGGTATCAGGCTAGTATTTGCATCAGGACTGTCGAATCATAAGAAAGAATATTAAGATTTGAGTGAAATAACAAATGATTAAAATAAATACTAGTATTAGTTTTATAACCTCATATCATAACAATATTCAAAAGGGATCCTTGAATCGGATGGACGTCGCCTATCTTCCACTTGGGAATGAAACTGCAACATAGATAGTCCAATGGTAAATTTTATCTTCAAATAACATCTATCTAGCTAAATGAAATCAAACTCTGTCCCTTTTTAGCACTTACACTCTCACATAGCCTTGAATAGGTTGGATCAACCAAATATGTAAAAGAGGTTCCAGAGTCAAAAAGAGCCGTGAATTCCACATCGATTAGAGTTGTTCCTACACGGACTTGATTGACTGTGATGTTATAGGTGGGGCTGTGAGATGCATCCAAGCATAAGAGATCTATTCGCAAGCATTAAAATATACTACTTCAGATTCAGATTATCAGAGGCAAGTAACAGGGAATTACCACTTACTGTGATGGGTTCATATTAAATGGAGTCTCGTTTTGATCAAGACTTCCTTTGTCTCCAAAACTTATTCTTCCAACGCCATCTCGTCCAAAACACATGGAGAACGAATCTGCTGTAAAGCCTTCCCTTGATAACACGCTAGGAACTGATATTTTCTCCATACCAAGTCCAAACAAACCATTTGGAGCAGCAACATCTAAGAACGATCCACTCTGAACTTGTCCACATCTGCAAAAAAACAAGTATTGAATTTTACTCCTAGTAATTATGATCAGTTTACATGATAAAACAAGAGCCAGAAAGCTTAAAGACATCAGATAAGCATAATATGCCTCTATTTTAGCAATTTAACAAAGAAACTTACCCAAATACAACATTTGCCTCAACAAGGTCATGATGATCATCTTCTTGGGTTAAATGCAGAACGTCCTCCACTAGTATTCCAGACGTAGAGGTTTCAGCGGAGACGTAAGAGACCATGTAAGGGCAGTTGCTGAATGTCCCAAGGCATTGATTGCGATGTGTGCAGAGACTATTGTTACAAGTGACCTTTTTACTTGTTGAAGATCCATTAGGATTATACACACTAAGGTCAAAATCCTATCATAACAATACATTCCATCAGAAACAAACCAAGGGTAGCAAAACACAGGATGCTTTTCAGCTCATTTCTGTAAGCTCTTCAATATAACTTATGAAAATATCTTATATGAAAAAACTTTAACTATATTTTATCTTAGTTTATGCATAATCACTTATACAATAATGGTTTAATTAACTTGCTTATCCAAACAGGGCATTGACATATCATGGAAATCTCACTTAACTCAATAGGTACTCATTATAATATTCCTAACTACAAAGAATCTAGGAAACAGCTTAACTTGAGTCACAAGACAAAACACCAAACAAAGAGAAGAGATGAGAGCATACTGAAGCCAAGGCAGAAAATGCAGAACTATCAGTAGCAGCACATCTTGTGCAATCACAGGGTACCCAAAAGAGGTCACTTCCTGTATCAAGTGCCACCATGAACTTCACTCCAGGTGTCCCTAGCTCAACTGTTGTATAATGTAAACTGTATTCAAAGAACACAAGCCAAAAAAAAAAAAAAAGTTAAACAAAGAAAATCAAGTAACCAATTCCAAGAACAAAGACTAATCAAAACAGTTTCCAAAATCATCACCTTCTAAAAAAAGGGTTAGTTAAATTTAAACCTAAATACAAACCCATTTAGTTTCTTTCCTTTCTTATTAACTTCATAACAGTTAAATTTTATTCCAAAGGTGAAAATGATAAAAATTGTATTTTTAATAAGTAAAATAAAATGAGAAAGAGGAAAAGGAAGAGGGGTTTACAATCCGAGGGAGCTGATACGGAAGGTGGAATTTCCGTCGGAGAAAGCAAGACCAGCGTCGAATTGGGAGAGTCTGCGGCCGCGGAGGAAGCGGTCACGGTCAGCTAACTCGGCGTAATATTCGACGGTGCCTTTTTCCGGCCATCGATGAGAAGGAGAGGGTGCGGAGAGGGACCATTTCTTGACAGGTTCGGAGTAACGGTGGTGCATCGTGAAGGTGAAAATGTGGGCATCACAGTAGTTCCAATGGGACAAGACGAAGATGATTAAGGTGATGATGATTTTGCAGAAACTGAGCATTTTTGTTCTTTACTTTGCAAAAACCTAAAACCCCTGAAAGAAGAAGAAGAGAAAGAGAGGATCTTGGTGTGTGATGTGAAAGGGAGTGAGATCTTGTGAAATTCAGAAGAAAATTGGGTCTTTTTTTATTATTAAGCTACTGAGGCGTAGTAATGTTGTATAGAGTGAAGTGAGTCAGTATGAACTTGACTGACCCACATGGTGTGGGTCATGTCCATGTGATTGGGCCCCACATAACTCCTTTTGTTTTGACAGTTGTTGGCAGTTGTGTCTTTTCCCTTGTTCTTATTTGTTACTAATCCCGGCGTTCCACCATGAATGATCCGATTCTTCGTAAAAAAATGAATGATCTGATTGATCATTTCTTATTTTTTCTTGTAAATAGAAAAGATTATTTTATTTTAGGATAGTTGTATTATTATAAATTGATCATTTATTATGAAATCTAGAAAAAATTAACTTAAGTCAGCTCAGTTGCAGTTGGTGTCGACGAATATTCGATTAAAAAGATATTAAAAAGATATAGATTCAGACGACATTATACTTATTCATATTTAAATGTGAAAGCATTTGTTTGATGAGGCTCATTATACTTATTCATATTTAAATGTGAAAGCATTTGTTTGATGAGGCTCATTTTAGAAAACAATGTTGGTGTCATAAATTATAAATCAAAATTTGTTATGTACACACAAAGAAAACATATCTTGAGTTTATGAAACTCATATATGTATTTACATTTACAAATTAAGTATTACTGATTACTCTCTACAATATAATAATCCCTCAAAATTTAACTTCTACACTACTCAAATCAATCATAAACTCTTCTTCTCTTTTAACAAAAGCTACTTTCCCTCTTTCACATTGTAGAAGCAGAGGTAATACTAAATTTATCAGAAAATTTAGTTCGTGATAGTAATGGTGAAACAACTTGCATTTGATGAAGAAATTCAACATCATGAACCAATGGATTCTGTGTTCTTCGCGGAGGAGAGCCGGAGTAACAGCAAGGTAAGCATCCGTTACATATTGATTCCATTCCATCACCATTCTGCATAAATAATCACAAACTCTATCAACAACCATTCATAATACCTAATCAAAATTTTCACACTTATTATTTTTTTATTAAGTTAAATTAATCAAAACCTTTTCAATGATCATATTCAGCACTCCATTCCTTTCATCAATGTTTTGCTGACTGATGAAAAAATATAACAAATCATAAATTAATATCAGACACAATAATAATTTTAAAAAATAAGTCAATTAAATGTACGTGTCAGAAACCAGACATGTATTCTTTTAGAAGTTTCGAAAGAAATAAAATAAAACCTATGCTTAGAACAGTTGATTGGTTGGAGGAAATCAGGTATGGAAGGTGAAAGCCTAATAGGTTTAGGGCAAATGGGTTGATCATAATTTCTTGATCCAATCATTTTTCTATCTGAACTCAAATCGACAAGATTGCTTTTCACTGCTTGACGATGCATGTTCTTTCTATTTTCTCTCTTTTTTCTCACAAGTGAATGAAGCATATGTGACTTGTGATTCAATCTATTTATGCTCCCGTTGAATTGGTTTTAGTGTGTAGAGTATGAGTAAATACAACGAAAGAATAGCCACACAATAAGTTCCATGCATGTAACAAACTAGAGATTAGTTGGCTCTGAGTAAAAATAGGTTTGGTATTTGACTAGACTGAATTATAACTTTAGAATGCTTGAACCCTAATTGGTATTTTTTTTTATGAATTAATTGATATTTTCTTTAAACAAAAATACTAAATAATTTCTTAGTGCAGATTGTATAATAATTCAAAGTTTTATAATATACTATTATATAGTACATTACATTTTTTTTAGATATCTTTTTAAAAATTGATATATGTAGTCTTAAATTTATGGTACAAGCATCAAATTTTAGAGAAAAAAAAATTGTTTTTGTTTTGATAGTTTTTTTTTTACAAATAGTTTAATGACTCAAAAGTGAATAAATAGAATGTCGCGGATTCGAAATTACAGTCTAGGTTTTTTTGCACTACTAGCTGAACTATCATAGATTACATATTTTTATAGTTATTAGTACATATTAAACAATTTTGTTGAGTTGATACCAAATATAACTGTATTAAGAATCTCTAAGTCTATTATTTATAAAATTTGTTAAGCGAATACCAAATATAAATGTATTAAGAATCTATTATTTATGAGATTTAAAGGATCTTTATCATGTAATAATAGTTAGGTATAATTAGTTTTCAAGTCCTGTAAGTTAATTATGAGCGGCGAGTTAATCTTTCAATAAAAATTGTTTCAATTTGGTCTCGTAATATTGCTTCCGTTAAGATATTTGATCTCTGTTACTTTAAGTGTTAAACCGTTAGTAAATGTCAGGGTGGTGTGCCAACTGTGTGCCTAGTCATCAAATGAATAAATATATCCTTTTTTAAAAGGTTAAATATTGTCAAAGACCTTCATAATTTCCAGAAAAAAGCTTGTGTGTTTGGTTCCTTCATCTTCTTCTCTTCAGCTTATGTATTTGGTTCCTTCGTCTTATCAAAGACCTTTATAAATCATTTGTGTTTGGTTCTTTCATCTTGTTCTTTTTCATCTTGTATCCATTCCTAGGGTTTTATTCTTCTTCTCCAATGTCTAAGTTGTCAAGCAGTACTTCCATTGGAACATCTGGGTCAGTTATTCGTAGAAATAAGAGGAGGGAGTGTCTTTAACATGATGAATGTGTGCTTCGTATCGTGGGTGACATGAATAATGTCAATTTTGGGGAAAAAATTTGGGGTTATAGGAATTTCAGAAATCATGTGAATAAGGGATGTAGTTTTTTCAAATGGTTCAACGACGACATTATTGATGAAATGGATTTGAAGATTCAGAGGCAAAAGAAGAAAAATTACAAATTGAAGAATGAGATCATCAACACTAGGGGATTTGAAGATTCACATATAGTTTTTCCCAAGCATTTGAATGACTTGCATTAGCAGCCTTCCACATCAATTCCTTTAATTTCACACCAGAAAACTTCTTCCTGAAATTGCTATATAAGAGCCTACCAATAACACATGTCAAACATCCACATCAGAAACTAACAAGAATAAAAGGTATCAAATCTGAGTTAGTAATAATGTTTACCTTACACAGCCCTTGTATTCTGGTCGTACCATATCAGATTTAAAGATATCAAAAATAAAATCTATCAAAAACAAAATCAGTTATAAAGATATTAGTACACACATTTTGTCGATCACTTATAAAGGTTTATGTCTTGCATAATCTCACACCTCCCAAATCATGTGTCAATAGATCCAAAAACCAACTCCATGAATCTTTGGTTTCTCCCTCAACTACAGCAAATGCTATTGGCAGCATTTGGTCATTAGGATCCCTCCCAATGGTTGAAAGAATTTGTTCACCATACAATAGATTTCAAAAAGCACCCATCCAAACCTATGATAAGTCTGCACTTAAAGAAACTATCATTGCAAGCTTTGAGGCAAATATAAATCTTTTGGAAATATGGATTCAAAGGCCTATCAGGATTCTCACTACTTTCCTCCCCACCTTGACTTGGTTGACTAGTAACTTTCACAGTTGAACCGGGATTTTCCCTAACAGCTCATGACCATAATTATGAATTCTTGTATATTAAATGAACCATCAACAATGTCAATAGTAAGTAACTTATCTTTGTATGCAAGTGTCTTATTGATCTCTACATTCCACTCTTATTTTGTTTTCTCCATTATATCACTCAACTTCAAATTAGGATTCTCTCTTACATTACTTTGAATTTTTTTGCCCAACCCTTTAGAATTTAGGAACCTCGCCTTATAATGTCCATTGCATGTGTGCTTGTCCACAATCTCTCTCAATTGCCAAGTATTATTATCTTGTAATTTTGCACAGTATGACTCCCATGGACAACCTTTCTTACATATGAATCTCATCCTATTGTTATCATTTTTCTTAAATTTGAGGTTTCTACTTGAATGAATAGCATAAGTTCTAATTCCCTCTTTAAAGTCTTTCTTAGAAGCAAAATAAGTCCTTAATTCCCACTTGTAATCATCTATTCTTTTTGGAAGCTTGAAATTTGGAAAATCATCTTTTAAAATCTCATCATCTTTACTATCATAATCATGTGGTAAATCATCAGTGTCATACTCCTCAATGTCACTCAAACCTCTAAAGTTGTCCTTTGTAACTTCACATTCATTCACCTTATCAAATACACCACTACCATCAACTGCTACTTCCACCACCTTTTGATTCCTTGGTCTGCCCTTACCCTTACCTTTTTCTTTCCCTTTACCCTTAACTTTACCTTTTCCTTTACCCTTAGTCTTATCTTTGCCCTTTCCCTTTCCTTTCCTTTCATCTATATCAATAGCAATTTCTTCAGCAATTCCAATTGAATCATCACCATAATTCTCAAAGAACTCTTTTAAAACACTATCATCTTCATTATTCTCACAATCTTTTTTGTTACATCCCAGTCCCTCACCTTCTTGGTTACATTCTAGTCCCTGATGATCATCTTGGTTACAAATAAGTCCCTCGGCTACTGAATCAGTTTGAACACTTACCAGATAAGGTGTGCCATCCAAAATATCATCTTCTTGGTCACATACAATATGACCGACTAGCGGTCCCATCTAAAGTAATATCTACTATTGAATCTTCAGACAAATTGTCCCCCTCAAAGTTAACATCCTGACATGACTCTTTTAGGTTACTTCCCCCAGTGGTCTCATCCACATTAACATCCTTAAATGAACCTTCTTGGTCAACTACAATTGAATCTTCTAAACCTGTGGGGCCTCCTTCATCAAATTTGTCACCTAGATTATTCAATTCTTCAATGGTCCCCAAGTCATCAAAATTTTCTTTTACACTATTATTCAATTCATCCAACATGTCATCTTCCAAATTATCGTCTTCTACACCATTGAGACCTACATTGTTTTCACCATTGGGACCTATATTGTATTCAAGAGGCAATATTTGTTTTTCCCTATACATTAGATGCATTACATATAGATGAACATTCCCATTGATCAGTGTGATCATCTTCATTCTATTTGTTCCTGCGTCATCTTGCAACATCACTAGCTCATTATCATCCATTGCATCATAATACCACAAGCTCTCAACTTTTGGGTACCCTAAATCTTTCAACGCATCTAGGATCTCAAAATAACTCCAAAAATCTGGATCAACTTGACAAATCTCCTCTAAACCCTTGTAACATAATATGTTAAACTCACCAAACACATCCCCATGATGGATAACACACTTAAAACTATCACTCATGACCTAATCACACCAAAAAACTCAGAAATCAGACTTCGAAGTAGACGAAATTGTTAAAAGTTTTTTTTTAAATAGTAAGTTCACACACGTACATTGGCCTTGAAATGAGACAATGGTTGAGTTGCTAGGTATCGTCTTCTGCTATCGTCTTCTCCAATAATCGTCATCTTCAACCACCGAGCTTTTCTTCTTCGCAACTGCTAGGGTTTCTTGGCAATGAGAGTAAAACTTAGAAATTAAGAGAAAAGAGAAGTTTAAGAGTTTGTGATTTTTGTTACTAAAAATGAAAACAAAAGTCATAGTGACACATCCTTATAATAGTAACTGGAAAAAAACACAATGCCATGTCAATATATAACAATGCCACATAGACGCAAGTTAACGTTTTCCAAAAAAATTTATAGAAAGGATTGATTGGACTAACGGAGTATGCTTAAAGGACTATATTGTAACGTTTTTTAATTGTGGGACTAATTAGAAACAATAAATTAACTTAAGAGACTAAAAGATAAATTAAGCCTAATAGTTTAATGGAAATAATAAAGTGGTAAAAGTTGAATTTTATTATAAATAAATTTAAGTAGTATCGAGGTTGTTTAACTTAATTTCACATTAGATTTTATTCTCTTATTTAATAAACGTTTTAAATAAGTCCTTTAAAATAGTTATGTGAGTCAACTTAATCATTTATGTTAAATCTTGAAGAAAAATGATAACGTAGGGTGATGTGACATGATTAGGCTACGCATGACAACGTACTTGCGGGTACCTACTCGAACATATCCTAAATTTCACTGAAAAATCCGTTTTGACGGAGTTTGAGTTTTCTCCTATTACAAAATATGGGGAGTGTTGGGTAATGGAAACACTAGTACTCACCCCGAACACGCTCCTGAATCCGCCCCATTTTTTCCATTATGTAATTTAATATTTAGTTTGATAATTTAGAATATTAAATATGTGGTTTATGTTTTGATATTTGTATTTGTATTTATTATTTAAAATATTTTAAATGTAAATATGGAATTATTCGAGTTTGTTATACTTTATTTTTTGCGATATAATTTGATTTTGAAAAAAATAAATATTTTTATTTAAAAAATTGATTTCACTAAATGGATGGTGCAGGGCGAGGATACTCGGACTCAACTTGAACCCGTTTG